CTGCAGGGTCACCCTGGGATAATTGGGATTGAGATGCACTGTCATTAATCACCAACTCTGAGCTGCCCAAGTCTAGCTCCCAGAAGTTATTTCATGAAGCTGGGACACTGGGACCCGAGTGTTTGTGAGGCCTGGACTCTCATCTGATAATGCCCAAGGGCCAAGCATGTCCCGTTCACCTGGCCCACGTTCAGTGATAAAATCAGTGAGGCGTGAGGCCCATTATCCATGCCTTCAGAGGCCCTGGAACCACCTCTGACCAGCACCAGCCTCTCATCCATGATCTGGTCTGGCATTCTGTGACGGCCCAGGGGATGGAGAACACAGCAGAAAGTGGTCCCTGACATAGGACTCTGCAAAGTCTCAGAGTGTCACTCAAAGCCACAAAGGCTGGGAAAGGACGCCAGAGTGTAAACAGGGACTAATGAACGAATGTGTCCCTCACTGCTCCATGCACTGGGGGCCACTTATGTCCCAACGTGGAAGAGTCCTCTTTCCAGAGCCCTGGGGGTGACCCAGAGCTGTCTGCAGGCCATTTGGGATCCAGACTCATTCTCTTATCACTCTGACCAACCTCATCAGGAAAGTGACTCTGTGGCACCAAATTTGCTCCCCTAAATACAAAGTCTACAAATTCGGGGGTCCGGGCAGTGTTACCAGTAAGCCTCATCACCCCCATCCGCTGATGGAGGGCTTGCTGCATTGTGACCAGTGACACTACGGAAGCATCTCTGAGAGTATGACCGGGGCCGACATGGGTGTGAGGACACAAAGCCACAGCCCACAGGGCCCCTGCTCACCAGTTCCCAACAGTGAGCTCAGCCCAGCAGGGCACACGGCAGCAACGTGCTTGTGCCTAGGGGTCAGCAAGTCCTTGATCACAGCACCCTACCTCAGGCAGCCCAGACCAGGCCACCTTTCCGGACCAGGCTCGGGCGCATGGGGGCCCCAGGACCATGGGCAGGGCAACTCACCGCAGCCAGCTTGTCAAAGCGGGCAAAGAGCTCATTGAGGGTCATGACCAGCTCCTGGGCAGTGCACTGGGATGCCAGACTGGTGAAGCCCTCAATGTCCGCAAACAGGATGCTGTGGAGACAGGCAGGGAAGATCCCCATGAGGGAGGAAGGTCAGGGGGACACTGCTGGGACATCTTCCACCTCAGAGGGCTGCCTGAGTGAGTCCTGAGGGCCCCAAACAGCTGCTGGGGAGGGGACAAAGAGAGCTGACACTGGTGGCCTCTCCCAGCTAGCCCAGAGATGCAGGAGGGGACAGCCCTCCTCTCTATCTCCCTGCACCCTCACTCCCACCCAGGAGGAAAGGGGGGTGCCGGCACATGAGGCCTGGGCATGTGCGGCTGTCTGAGGTCATGCAGACGGGGCCCAGCGTCCCCAATCTGAGTCACCTCTCAGATCTGCCTCGTTTGACTCCTGAGCGGCCCCCTCAAGGTAGCTGGGCCCAAGAGGGGGACTTTGGTTCATCTGCTCTGAAGGTGTTTCAGGCCCTCGTGGCAGGGATACAGAGGTCTCACTTTCCGACCCCATACACTGGGGAATCCTACCCCAAGCCCTTCATCCCAAGGGAGTTCTCTGGAAGGGACAGACTAAAGAGGCTGAGGGAGGAGAGAGAGGGAGGCACAACCGGTAAGCATCTCTGGAAACCCCTCACCTTGTCCCTGCCAGCTCCTTCATCCCCGGGCCCCCGTCAGCTGCCCAACTGGTCCCTGCATTGTGGGCTATGATCTTTTATCTGTTCCTGAGATTGAACACGTCTTCCTTTTTTCTCATAACAGACTCCCAGGGGGGAGGCCCTAGGGCTGGAATGTGTAAGGGCCCCTGGAGTTTTTCCTAAAATGGACACCACAATTTAGTGACTCTCCTGTGCTGAGATGCTCCTGGTGGCTGGGCACAGGGCTGGGCTTTGGACCTGCCACCTCACTGAGTCCCCCAGGCAGTCCTGAAGAAGGGCTGGTGTCCCACCCCACAGACGAGGAGGCCAGGCCTCAGGGAGGAGCCACTGACGGCTTGGCGGGGAACGCTTCCCCGCGGCCTGTGCTCCCTCCTCTGATCCACGGGGCTCCTGGGGCTCCAGGCCAATGGTCTCAGTTTAAATTAGAACATAGACCTAAACATATTTAGTGTGTGGGTGTGCATTAAGCATCTCTTTTCATTCTGATACCTGACATTTGGGGCCTTACTGACCTGGGGAGCCTGCCCCTCTAAGGCCAGCCAGTTCCAAGTGATAGTCAACCACTCACTTAGAGTCTGGAGCCCCCTTACCTGCGTCGGGCTCTGACACCTGGATCACTACTCCCCTGCCTGAATCACCCCAGGGACAGGGGCCGTGTAACTCAGGACTGTCCTATGCCACAGAGCCCGCTGACATTATTCAAATGAGCCAACCCCAAGCCTGCGTACCCTCTCTCTCCTGTTCCTTCTGGCAGAAATCACAATATGGGCTCTTACCCACACTTCCCCTCATTCAGGCTCCTGACTGATCCCCACACTTCCCTACGTGCCCCACCCCATGGCGTAATGTGCCCTCTCCTCTCAGAAACTGTGAGTAAAACTGTCTTCAGTAGCAGCTGTCTCCTGGTCTGTTGGCCTCACCATACTTGGATAATGATAATATCTACATTTTGAAACAGTTGGATACTGTTCTAAGCACTTTACATGTATTAATTCATGTAAGCCTCACAACCACCCTACAGAGCTGGAATCCTCTTTTATAGGTAAGAAAACTGAGGCACAGAGAGGTTGAGTCAGCTGCCCAAGGCCATACAGGCAACCTGGCTCCACAGTCCAGGAGATGAGCCAATAAATATTATGCTCTCTGTTGGCCCCACAGTCATCTTAAACCAGTGAAAGCAAAATTCACTGGTCTGGCATTGTCTATGGGGCAGAGGGAGGTGGAGGGTAGGTGTGGCAAGTAAAGGACTCCATCAAGAGAGGACGCACTCGGCAGTTCCACACCAGCTCCCGCGAGGGGAAGTGAAACAGGCTGGGCCACCAAGGAGCGCCTCCCAGGGCTTGGGCCAGGCTGCGTCACCTCCCAGGAAAAGTATGAGAGAGCAGTTCCCATCCCCAAGCCCAGGGCTGTTTCCCGGCATCCTGGCTCCTCCAGCCACTCTGACCCCAGCCCAGATCAGCAAAGACAACCACAAGAGGAAAGCCAAAGAGAGCAGAGAAGTTGGGGGAGCTGATGAGAGAGGAGACCAGTGAAGGGGAAAGAAGTAACGCTGAGGGGGAGGTGGGGGAGGAGAGACCGCTGGTCAGCCCATGGGCCTCAGAACTCAGAGGAGCTGCTCCAGAGTGGCAGCCACAGGGCAGGGACTCGGAAGATGAAGGGAGCCAGAGTCTCCATCAAGCTTTGAGGCCTGGTGGCTGGTGCAGCAGACAGGCTCAGCGCCCCACCCAGAGAGGTCTGTGGACACCCATGCTGGGGACAGAGGAGCATGTGAGCGGGAGCGGCCATGCTCCCCCCGCTGACCCCTACTCCTTAAGTAAGTGCACACCCCACCCTAAGCCACCTGTCACCTCCCAGCCTCTCAGTCTCTCAGGCAGCCGCCCCGCCCCACCCAGGAGGAAGGGAAAGGTCTCTCCCAGTCTTTGTAAAAGCACCCTTACATAGCTGCCCTAGAAATTCTTCTTTAACTCTTAGGAAATCAAAGCTAAGGGAAGCTAGGGTCAAGATCGGCTGCTCTAGAGTCAAAGAACTCCTCCAGCAAGAATCAGTATTTCAAATGCAAAGCCGACAGACACCAGGACTCGTGGGCCTCGCTTCACTGAGCTCTGAGCCCTGTACCTGCCAGAGCCACTCAGCGGGGACACCTCTGCCCGCCCTCTATGGCACGGGCGGGCTGCGACCCTGCTCTCCTCCACAGGGGGCCCCACCGGGCCTGGGAGAGCACTTTCCCCCACTGCAGCTCTCAGCCCGCTAGACCAGAGACTCTCAGACCGGGCGTCCTTTAGAATGACCTGGGAGCTTTCCTATGGAGAGGTCCCCGAGCCTCATCCCCAGAGATTCTGACTTAATTGTCCTGGGGTGGGGCTTGGCTATTGATTGTTTTTGTTCTGTTTTGATTTATTTTAATCTTTCCTGGTAATATGCAAGTTTAAATGTCAGCTTCTCAAGGCTTCCACAACCCTATTTAAATTTACAACCCCTCCCATAGGTCCATCTCCCTTCCCTGCTGTCTTTTTCTCCATCACACTTTTCACCATTTAATACATTATTTTTGTTGCTGTTACTGTTGTCATTTATTATTATGCTTCTGTCTGTCTCTCCCCACTAGAATGTAAAGTCTTGGAAGGAGGGATCTGGGACTATCCCTTTCAGGGCTACATCCCAGCCCCCAGCACAGTGTCTGGCACACAGAGCACTTGCTCAATAAAATTTTCAATTGAATGACTGAGTGAATGAGGACAGGTCCCACTGCCCTCGCCCTCCGCTCTATCCACCCACCTCCGCACACACACACCTCGCGCAATATCCAGCACATAGCAGGTGTCTGTATTAGTTTCCTAGGGCTGCTATACCAAGTCACCACAAACTGAGTGGCCTAAAACAACAGAAGTGTATTCTCTCATGGTTCTGGAGGCTAGAAGTCTTAAATCTAGGTGTCAGAGGGCCCTGCTCCCTCTGAGACTCTGGGTAGACTCCTTCCTTGCCTCATCCTAGCTTCTGTGGGTGGCTGCCGATCCTTGGCCTTCCTTGATGGCCACTGCGTCATTCTAATCTCTGCCTCCCTCGTTACACGATGCTCTCCCCATGCGTTTCTGTCTTCACACAGCATTTTCTTCTTCTTACGCAGACACTACTTACATTGGATTAGGAGCCCACCCTCCTGACCTCCTCTTAACTTGATTTCATCTGCAAAGACCCTATTTCCAAATAATAAGGTCACATTCACAGGTACCAGGGTTTAGGACTTCAGCGTATCCCCTAGGAGGACACAGCTCAGTATATATTTGAACTCAGTGTCTAACATATATTTGTTGAATGGAAGAGACTAGTCTTAGTTTAAAGCAAGGAAGAGTCAGGACCAGTTACTCCAGGAGCTCTTTCTTCTACCCCACCCACTGGACCTCCTGGGGTCCCAAGCATGCCATCTGAGACGCGAGCCTGGGGAGCCTGGCACCCAGCAGACACCCAGCAGTGTTCACAGAGCAAAAGGTGGGATGGTTATGGGGGCCAGGCAGCCTCCGGGTCTGTGCTGGAGACGTGAGAAACAGCGCCCGTGTGGAAGGGGCCTCTGGGCGCCTTAGAAAGCCTGAGCCTCCCTCCAGTCTGCCAGGACCGACTCTTCTGTAGAAGGAGTTCTTTCAACAGCTGCCAAGGAATTACGGATGGGTAGGTGGCTGGCCTTCTTCCTTCAGGTGGTGTGACAGTGACCAGCGGCCAGGGAGGAGGTGGCTCAAAGCAAGGCGTCTAACTTGTGTGGAAGCTTGGACAGGTCCCAGCTCTGAACCCTACAGCGTCTCCCACACATTTATGGGAACTCTGCCACCTCCACATTCCCCCCTCCTCCTGCCAGAGGCGAAGTCACACTCCTCTGCCGCCTCGGGGGAGGATTCTGCTTAGCGACTGTCACTTCTGGAGGCTCCTCTGTGTTACAAGGTTTATCCAACGGCAGGCTGTCTATTCTGCGGGCCAAGGCTTCCTGCTCTGCTCCTCGGTCATGCCCAAGGCCATCTCACAGCAGCACAGGGCCCAGACTTGCAGGAAGGTACTAATTCATCGATTAGTCCCACTTGGGAGCTCATCTTGGCAACGCAATCAGGGCCTCGTGGTGGGCGCACAGAAGCTGGGGAGGCCCGCTCCCGCTATGCGCGCCTCCCTAATTGCCTTCCATCCATCACTCACGGTCCATGCTGCTCCAGAGGCAAGAGCAGGCAGGCTCTTCATCCCAGTGACCACGGCAGGCCCTCAGCTCTTGTTGCAGCTTCAGCTCAGACTCACCATGTGCGTTTCTGGTTAAGTGCATATCCTCACTGTTGCTCCCTGTCGCTGCCAACAGGCCCCAGGACTTGACAGAGCTTCTGGATAGCCAGGAGCTGGGTTCGCCTAGGGGGCTGGGTGGGCAACAG